GGGGCAATATGCTGACTCTGTAAACCGCTTAGAGAGGGCTGAAAGCCCTATGAAGCGGTATATAAGTCTAACTGCTATTGCTATTGCTATAGAGCAAACCCATTTGCAACAGTGGGTGAAATCCTGTATCATTTTTGTCTTCTCCTTTTCTCTGAAAATTTGCTTTGGAAATTTGAAGATCTCTGGAGCTGCAAGGAGAGGGAGGGCATCCTTCCTTCCAAGATTGGCCAGCATAACTAGGCTCTGTCCGAGTCCATGAACTCAGTGGACTCTATCCATGAAACCCTGTCACTGAATGTCAGCCAAAATTCCAAAATGTTTCTCAAGAAGACTAGACAAAAGGCCCACTATGAGAGAGGCTTCTTTCCATAAAGAAACTGAAAGTTAAAAGCAGCCCTTGGAATTACATCTGGAACTCTATTTTGATTCAAATGCAGGCAGTCTCTAACAACATCCAGTGAAGAAAGAAGATCCTTAGCAACATTATGCTCATGTTGTTTAGTTTCACTCAGCAGAAATCTGGATGCCATGAGCCCTCTTCAAGGGTAGTTCCTACAGTAGTGCAGAAAAGAGGTGAATTAGCTGAATTTCGCTGATAGATTGTCAGTTATATTGGATGTTTCCCAATGTTTGGGACCCATTTTATAGTTCTTTTTGAAGTGCTTTGTCTTTAGTTTATTTTTGTTTGCTCTTATTCTATTTTTTCACAAGAGAAATCACAACTTTTTATTTATCCAAATGGGTCTATTAATTTATCACACTTATTAATTCAAGGGGACAAGTGTAGAATGATACACTAGTTCAATTATAGGACAGGCCTGTGCAGAATTTTGAGTTTGAAGTGAAATTGCTTCACAGCATACAGAAAATGCTATACAATTTTGGAGGCTAAATGTTAAATATATTAATTCTTTTTTGTGATCCCATAGTTTTCTGGTGATTCTTCTGCCTTTTTTCTTGCACTTCTCTTTATGCAATGTCACAGAAGCCAAGAATACAACTGGGGGAAAAAAAGATTATCTGGAGTCCCACAAAGCCTCATGGAATACAGAGAACCTTTAAGATTTGGCTGTATTGTGACATTCTGGCTTTTTTGAGGTGTTTTTTTTAAAATTAAATGGAGGTTTCTGATTACCTTGGTATCATATATCTGATTATATGTACAGATGTTATGTTCCTAACTGACTTACTCCAAACATTCCAAAGCAAGGAGTATAGTTTTAATTTTGGATTAGTATTGCGCCATTTTGCATTACAATTTTCTTTGAAAGCCTAAGCCATTATCTTTGTGAGAGAGGATGTGTGGTGGCTAGGGAAACTAATCATTTCCATTTTTAGAGTGCCTGTAGTGCAGTATCCATCCACATTTTTTCTATATTTAAAAAAAACAACTGTTGCTGAATTATTGATATTCAAATCTTACTTCAACAACTTGGGGGAACATCCCATTCTACTTTTTGAGATTTATTCATGAAAGGCACGATTTGTATTGTGTTGTGTATGTTTATTTAGTTTATTAATCAGTCATCGGCCCCTTACAATATATTACTGGTCTTCCTACTTCAGCTGTGAGCAAGCGCATGGAAAATGGAGCCAAATCCCCCCGGAAAATTAGTTTGACACCACCTCCTGCAAAACCCGAGGAATTGAACCGTTCACTGAGGTAAGTCTGCAAAAGCTGCTGATTGATAGTGACATAGATTTATTGTGCATATTTCAATAAAATTAAAAACAGCTATTTTTTTCCACTTCTGATGTTAGGACATGATTCATTTTCAATTTTGAATTTTTGAATTTCTGCAGACAAATAACAATGTTGAGTGTTAGTGACATACAGGGCGGGGCATAACCTTTTCCTAGGGGGTCACAGCAAGATCGACAGCAGTTTACAACTTCCGCGACACCTCATTTTAAAGCCCATAAAAAACTGAATTGAATGAGCTATTAAATGTTAAATTTGCTTTAAGAATGGCTGGAAAATTCGATTCGGAAGAACAAAGGATCATTGACAGAATAAAATGCATTGCCTTTCGAGAGGCTCGCGATGCTGGAGCGACGTTTATCAATCGAAAATGGATTGCAAACAAATTGAAACGTCATCCGGATTGGGTTACTGATAATTGGAACAAAACAGCCCAAGAATGTTTCACAAAATTTGGAGAAGGGCGTCCTCTGCAACTGTCCCAAGAAAGCAAAGCCATCATTGCAACTGGCAGTCGCAAACAACGAAAAGGAAACCGAAAAGTGGCCCAAGAAATCCTTCAAATTCGTGGAAAACGAGTTGATCAAAGGACAATCGGCCGATATTGAGAACGAGAAGGTTTGAAGCCATTCCACGTCATTTGCAAACCATTGAAAACTCAAACACACGTTCAAGATCGGCTTTGGTTGTGCGATTGGTTGTCTGAATGGACCGAGGAAGATTTTCTTCATTTGGCGCCATCTGACGAATTCTTCGTTTATGCCATTCGAAAACCGAATTTCCAGAACGATCGAATTTGGGCTAAAGACGTCGACGACATCGCCAAACATGAACGATATCGGCAAATCGTTCGCAATCCGACTTGCATCGGGATTTTCGTCATTTTCACAGCCAAGAAACTGCATTGGGTTTTGAAGGATAAAGGGGAATCCTGGGATGGCAGTTATTTCCGTGAGAAAATTTTATTGGAGAATGTCATTCCATTTCTCAGTGATCCAGACAATGTCTTGGTGGTTGGTGAGGCTGTCTTTCTTCATGACAAAGCTCCTTGCATGCGTGCAAATGCGACTCAGCAATTGTTAAAGGAAAACAATGTCGAATTTTGGGGCAATGACGTCTGGCCGGGAAATTCGCCAGATCTTAATCCAGCAGAGAACATTGGGGCCATAATTAAGGATGAAGTGGAAGCTCTGATGATTCAGGAGCAAGGTCAAAATCGATATTCGGTTGAAACTTTGAGAATGAATTTGGAAACTGTGTTGAAAAATCTGGAAAATCGAACGGAACTGTTTGAAGATTTGTTGTGTTCTTATCCACCTCGTTTGAATGCTGTTCGAAGGGCTAATGGTGGTCATACTGACTATTAAATCGTGTCAATAAACTCAGTTTTTGATGGGCTTTCGAATGGTGTATGAATTATTTGTGTTGTTATTACAAGTGTTGCTGTGACCCCCTAGGAAAAGGTTATGCCCCACCCTGTATATGACTCTGCCTTTTTATCTATTCTCTGCTGCTACTCAATTTAGAGAGAACTAAAGGTGAAATCTGTCTTTGACATCGTACAGCAGATAGATCTGGGTGTTCCAACTTACAGTTTGGAAACCTTTTATATTCACAAACTATTCAGCTTTATTTTCCCACCACATTGTAGAAATTTTCTTTGGAGTCAATGACTGCAGCGAAGACCAAAGTAATTTACCAAAGTAGTGGCAGGTCAGTGGTAGGTTCCTACCGGTTTGGACCGGTTTGGCCGAACCAGTAATGGTTTGGCGGCCTGGGTCTCTGGAACTGGCAGCAACCCAGGCCTGCCATGCTCCCAAACCGGTTTTTCCAGCGGCCCCATAGCTGCCACCATCTTGTTTTTTGCTTCTGCACATGCATGGAGCATTTTTATTGCACTGTGGATGTGCACACAGCGCACATCAAGCACATGTGTGTGGCATGGCCACGAGCAAACCGGCAACAGTGACTGCTGGAACCCATCCCTGTGCCAGGGTACCCTGGTTCTTGAGAATCTATGTGGATAAGAGGAGGGACAGTCACCCATATGTCCTCTGGAGGGCTGCTCCTTGTGAGGAGACCACAGGACAGGGGTCTTACCCAGATTTGAGCACTGGAAGGGTTAGGTACCATACTTTCAACCACTAGTGGAATTTTCAAAAGGACACTACATTTGCAAGCCTCACTTTTTAATCACTTTTGGAAATTTCCTATGAACTATCGTATCCGAGTGTGGGTTGTTAAGGAGAATGTGTTCTGGCATTTTTGCTTCCTTATCTGTTTATTGTATTTTTTTGAATTGTGTGTAAACGTGTCTGTTTGCCTGAATGCCAAGTTTCCAGGAATTCCCTGGTGTTTTTTGAATATAGTTTGGTCTAGGATGGTCACGTTTCTCAATTAAAATTAATGTTGTGACATTGAGTTTTTATCATGTCTTCTGATTGATTGATGTTGATGGATGCATTCTGCTAGCCTTCTGCATGTCCGGCTGTTATATAGTGACTGTTAAGAATCCCAAGGAATTACACTTATATTGTAGGTGATTTCTTTTTTCTCTTCTTGCGTTACTGGATCCTTTGGTTTACTTAAGATGTTTTGGAGGGCTTTAGTTGTAATAATCTGCTAGATGTTTCTGAGATATTTTTGATGTATGGCAGTGTAGTTTTCATAGCTTTCATAGATAAAAATCAATAAAATTTAGCACACAGAGAACATGATAAATAAAAAGTCTATGAGCTAAAACAGAAAGAACAGCAGCTTCTACAGACTCTTGAAATAGCTGTATTCTCTATTTCCCTTTAAGTCAATTTCCCTTCACTCTGGAAATTTCCATCAATTATTTCTGAAATTGTGGGAAAGACGTTAAATCATTTTACATCTCAGATTATACTTCTCATTTTGAAATAAAAGAAATTGGCAGATCTTAAACTTCTGGAAATAGATTATTAAGGTAAAGGTTCCCCTCACACATATGTGCTAGTCGTTCCCATCTCTAGGGGGCAGTGCTCATTTCTGTTTTAAAAGCTGAAGAGCTAGCGCTTTCCAAAGACGTCTTCGTGGTCATGTGGCCGGCATGACTAAATGCCGAAGGTGCATGGAACACTGTTACCTTCCCACCAAAGGTGGTCCCTATTTTTCTACTTGCATTTTTACATGCTTTCAAACTGCTAGGTTGGCAGAAGCTGGTACACATAACGGGAGCTCACTCTGTTACGCGGCACTAGGGATTCAAACCGCTGAACTGCCAACCTTTCTGATTGACAAGCTCAGTGTCTTAGCCACTAAGCCACCAAGAAATAGATTATTGCAAAGTGTTAAATTTGTGTTTTTTTGAGAAAATGTTGAGGCTTGTTGCTGTTTTAGGATTTCTTGATTTACTACATTTCTTATTTTAAACATAGCTTAATTTCCTATTTTGTAGATCAGATACATGTTTCTTAGTCACATATTTGAATTTTTCCTAATGGATCTTTTTTTTCTTCCCATTTTTCTGCCAGCAGATAACAACCCATTCTCACATGTTAACAGTTAATAATAACTATAATAAAAGTACTACAATCATATAATCCCATTTTTAGAGATATTTCATAAGTTAATGTTGCCAAGGAAATAAACTTAAAACATTCCTTGGCAAATAATTTGGATGATGTGTGTTTGACATTTTGGAAAATCTGACAGCAATAAGATGTGCTGCCAAAGGAAACAGCTTCTTTTATCACAGTTGCATTGCAAATGATACTATGTCAGTCAGTGTAGAAATGTGTCTTCCTTGCTGCAAACAAATTTTCTTCTAGTGATTCTGAGCTGAGTGCTGAAAACTAATTCCTCCTTAAAATAATTCAATAGCTCTTGAGCTATTAATGTTCTTGAAGTGTCAGAGATGCTACTATATCATTATCAGCCCTTATCGAATGACTGGTATAGATAGAAACCAGAGGAGGGTTAGTTAAATCAAGTTGATTTAACCTGTCACATGTATTTATACCTCATACCTACAAATTGCAGTATGCATTCCAAGAATGATTATTTTTTTGGGTGGTCTTTTTTAGAGTAAGGAAACCAGGACTCATTGCCTCCAGCCCTCTAGTCTGCCTTAACCATTAAACTAAACTAGCAGGTTGATATTAACTGTTCATTTACCAGTGTCTGCAAATGTGTGACCATCACTAACTTTTATTGCTAGAAATTCTTAATTGTCTAATTAATTAGACTATATTCCCAAATGTTCTGTTCTGGAGCTGCTCCTGAGAGCCATGATCACAACGAGACTTGGAGAGGCTCTTTCTGGAGAGAGTAAGGAAGATGACCATAGGCATGATTCTGTTACTATTTATAAATAGTAGTCTGAGCTTGGTGTGGAATTGATTTATTGGTTTGCTTTACATAGTGGGCCTGACATCAATCTTGCACACGTAGTGTTTTACCATCAGTACCACCCAGTGGTGAAATTCATTTTTTTTCACTATCAGTTCTGTGTTCACTATCAGTTCTGTGGGCGTGTCTTGGNTTGAAGTCTGTGTCTGTCTTGTTTGGTTCCAGAGCATTTTAAATTTTAAAATTTAAATTGCAGAATATTTTAAATTTGATTTAAAATATTAGAAAAATAGCATCAATAGCATATTAATAGATCAGAGACTTCTGAAATGTATAGAATGAAAAAGTCTATTTTGTATTTTCATTACTGGTAGTCTTGTGTGTGTTTGTGTGTGTGTGTGTGTGTTTTGTCCTCCTTTCCTTTCTTATTTCTGTTGTCATTTTGTTAGCCAGGAACTCCAAAAGACGATGACAGAAGCAAATTTAAAAAGCCATCCACGCTGAATATTTCAGTAAGTGCAGATAAGATTCTGGGGAATGAATGACAATAAATAATGTACGAAACCAAGGATGGATGACATTAATTTTATTTTTCTGTGCTCATGCATCGTGGTATGCTAGAAACCTATTGTGGGGTTTCAACATCACAGCAGGTATGCTTTGATCCAGTAGTTTTATTTAGTGATATTTCCATGGGTGCTAAAGTTGAATAAGTACACATGATGGGTGAAGTCTATATTTCAAATAATTTTACTCTAGAAATTTAGTGACGCAAGGAACAAAAAAGCAGTATCTATAATGGTCATCACTTGTTAACTGTTACATATTTTTAATGATGTCTTAATTTACCTTTACCTACTGGCAAGACCAGATAGACTTCTGCCTGCTATGTTTTCTAACAATATTTTTCTTCAAGAAGACTAGATGAATAAATATATTGCAGAGAATGAGGAAGCTTTGTATATATAAGGATATATTGCAAAGGTAGTCCAATTGTGTTTCAGTCAAAGGTTTAGTACTTAACAGTACTTAACTGTTGCTTAACAGAAGGTTGCAAAAGGTGATCACTCGACCCTAGGCACTGCAACCGTCATAAATACATGTACTTGTACATGTATTTAGTACTTAAACGGTTGTCCTTAGTAAGTTCCTGCCTGAACATTAAGATCTGGGGGAGAATTCTTCTATGTTCCTACATTAAAGGATGTACATTATATAAGGAGCACCCCAACCTTACATTAACATGAAGCATTTTGTAGCACCAAATGAAGAGCCATGGTGGCACAGTGGTTACAATGCAGTATTGCAGGTTAATTCTGCCAACTGCCAGAAGTTTGATCCTAACTGGCTCAAGGTTGACTTAGCTTTCCATCCTTCCAAGGTTGGTAAAATGAGGACTCAGATTGGTGGGGACTATATGCTGACTCTGTAAACCACTTACAGAGGGCTGCACTATGAAGTAGTATATAAGTCTAAGGGCTATTGCTATCTGATTTTTTATTTTTGCATTTGGGATGTTAAGTCAACTACAGCTTTTGAGTTGCTTTAAAAAAAAAAAAGCAACCGGCATGACCATACAGCAGGGGTGGGTTCCTGCCAGTTCTAACCTCTTCTATAGAAGAGGTTCCACAAATCTACAATGCTGTTTAGAACTGATTCCAACTCCCTCCCCCCGCCCATCCACACATCATCAAGATGAAGAGCGAGAGGAGGAATTCTGGGAGTTGAAGTCCACTACTTACAACAGTTCATTTAGTGACCATTCAAAGTTACAATGGCACTGAAAAAAGTGACTTCTGACCATTTTTCACACTTAAGACTGTAATGGCATCCCCCCCGCCCACATGATTGAAATTCAGATGCTTGGCAACTGACATATATTTATGACGGTTGCAGTGCCTAGGGTCGAGTGATCACCTTTTGCAACCTTCTGTTAAGCAAACTCAGTGGGGAAGCCAATTCACTTAACAACCATGTCACTAACTTAGGCAATGGGAGTGATTCACTTAAGAAAGTTAATAAAACGGGGCAAAACTCTGTCTTGTTTAGCAACATAGATTTTGGGTTCAATTGTGGTCATAAATTGAGGACTAATTGTACATCAGGCAAACGGGATTTCTCTATAATATCCAGCTTATATTTCATTTTTTGGACTACTCAGTGAAGAGAGAACATCATTTGAACATTGAAGTCATGGGTTCAACCCTTGGCTTCTGAAACTAAAAAGAATCTTCTAGTACTATATAGGAGAGCTACTGCCAGCCAGAGTAGTTAGTAACAGCCTTGATGTACTAATAAGTTGGCCTGCTATAAAATGTGGCTCTGTTTGTATTGAGTTTGCTTACACTGTTAGGGAAATCTGCCTAAATTTAAAGTTTGATCACACTGAATGCATTTGGATTGAGCTTAAAAGGTTTTGGCCGTTATTACTTTTAATAAGATTATACATGTGTATCATAATTTTATGACTTTCAGCTGATGAGCAGAGGGGAAAAAACATGTTTAATCGTTCACTGATTTGTCTTTCTAGTGCTTTAAAAGCATATTCTTTAATTGTGACCTGGAAAATATTGTTGATAATGTATTGTTTCAGTAGTATTTTCTTTTTAAAATAGGTAGTGAAACCCTGGCTTGAAAATGACCAGATATGGATTTCATGGAACCACAGCATTGAAATTAATGTTACCAATGAGTTTCTAATAAAGCTAAGAGAACACAGCATAAAATTAAGGTTATGGGATCTCAAGGAAAAGGTTTGTTCAAAAGCCAGGTTTTGTAAACTAAGGAGTAACCTACTATTATCAGATCACGGAGAATTTGATGGTAAGTGTATTGAAGACATCGCTACTCTTGAGTCAATCTCTGGTCATATAATATAATTAACATTTTTGATTTCACTATATTCTTCAGTTATATATCCCTGACTGGGAGAAACTGATAAGTGTTATGCCTTTTAATGGAATTTTTTTAGTTGGAAAAGGTGCAACCAGACTATTTTTCCACCATAAACACAGTTCTGCTATAGTGGTGATGACGAACCTTTTTTGCCTCGGGTGCCAAAAGCACGAGCGAGTGTGCTATTGCATGCGTTTGCGTGCCCACCCCATAACAATGCCCCCCCCATGCCGTGCCCCCTGTGCATGCGCACGTGACAGCCCCCCCAGCTGCCCCGCACATGTGCGCACGGCTTTCTAGGAACCTGAGGACACCCTCCCAGAGGCTCTTCAGAAGCCAGAAATGGCCTGTTTTGCGACTTCCAGTGAGCCCAGTGCGTCTGTTTTGTGCCCTCCCCAGGCTCCTGAGGCTTTCTAGGAGCCTGGGGAGAGCAGAAATGGCTTCCCCTGCCCTCCAGAGGCATTTTCTGACTTCCAGTTTTTGCGTTGTGCCACTTTTGCGTGACCCGTCAAAACCGCGTAGACAAAACCGCGCTCGACGAAAGCGCATACCTGACGTCATCAGCAGCGCGACGAAAAAAATTAAAAATAAATTAAATTGAAATTAAAATAAAATAAAATTAAAGCAAGCTGATTCACATAAAGGTAAGGGTTAGGTTTAGGGTTAGGGTTAGGTTAAGGGTTAGGGTTAGGGTTACGTTAAGTGTTAGGGTTTAGGGTTAGGTTTAGCGTTAGGTTAAGGGTTAGCGTTAGGTTTAGCGTTAGGTTTAGCGTTAGGTTAAGGGTTAGGTTAAGGGTTAGGCTTAGGGTTAGGTTTAGGGGGGTTAGGGTAAGGTTTTCGCTTTAATTTTAAATTTACCACTCACAGCGCGATGTTTTCATCGCGCTGTGATGACGTCACGTACGCGCTTTCATCGAGCGCACTTTCGTCTACCGCGGTTTTGTGGTGGAACCATTTTTTGCCCTCCGGAGGCTTCAGGAAGCCTCCTAAAACATCCGGAAAGTGAAAAATGGCCCTACAGGCAACTTGGAAATTCAGGAATGGACTTCCAGGTTGCCTGTAGGAGCTTTTCTCTCTGCTCCCAAACTTCCGATTTGCACATTGGGTTGTTTTTCGCCCTCCAGAAGCTTCCGGAGCAGAAAAGCAGCCTAAAATGAAGGTAGAAATCAGCTGGCCAGCACATGCATGTGTGCTGGAGCTGACAGGGCAACACCTTGCGTTCCCTAAGAAATAGCTCAGCGTGCCACCTGTGACACACATGCTATAGGTTCGCGATTATGGTCCTATATTGATAAGTTTAAAGTTACTTTATTAAAGTTAGCTAGATCTTCATCCAGATCAACTGAAGTAAAATCATCTTCATCAGCTATTATCCAGCTTTCTTTAAAGACTTCCTAAGAAACTAAGAGATTTACAGAATGGTTATTTTGATCTCGACATTTCTGTCCTACATAGGAGAATTGTTAAAAGTATAGAAAAAGTATAGAACAACATCTGTTTCCTGTTCAGTAAAGTCTTTGGATTGATATCACAAAGTTGTCAGCATAACTCCTGTTTAGTTACCCATCTTATTTTCTCTTAATAATATAGGCACATAATAAACAAATTGTTAGCTGTGAATGTCACTTAGTATTGCTTTTTCCTATTCAAGGTAATGTCAAGAATATGGTTTTGTATCAGAGAGAATTCTTAGAAAGGAAAGAAGCCAAACCCAGTGTCACAAAGGTTAAACCAGTAACGTACTTGGTGCAAAAACAGACAGCAGACGCTTTGTCAGGTAAGATTCTGTGAACATAAGGCTCCATTATGTTATATATGCAAGTACTTTGATATATACAACAACAATGAGCTTCAGCTGTGATCTTATTTCATGCTCTGCTGTTCTTATGGTAACAGTTAATGTAAAATGCAGCAATTAATAGTTTGCTGGTTTTTCATTTCTCTCCTATGTAAAAAATAATAATTCTGTTTCAATATGAGCACCATGTTACAATGAGATCTCATTAAATTTCTGGAAGTTGGTTCTCAGTTTGGGTAAGATGCTTTAATGCAAAAGTTGTTTTACAAACTTTTGTCATGTACTAATTACATGCTCTCCTCTTGTCCAAACATGGTTCTGGCAAAGCTATCTAACTAAGCTAATAAATGTACTGTATTTTTGGACTATAAGATGCACTGGAGTATAAGATGCACCAAGATTTTGAAGAGGTAAATTTAAAAAAAGGTTTTTGCCCTCTCTGGTCCCCAGGAGCACTCTGCAGGCCTCCTAATCCTCTGAACCCTCCATCTTTTGTGAGAAACTGGGGGTGCAGAGAGTTTGGCAGGCCTGCAAAATGCTGGGGGCAGGGAGGGCAAAAATGCAATGGGGGGGGGGGTTGGGAGGTGAAAAACTGCCCCATCCTGAGCTGCAGCTAAAAAGGAACCTAGAACCTGAATGTCCTCAACCATCTGGACCTGGAGCCTCGAAAAAGGGGAGGTTGTTAAAGACAGGTTCCCTAAATTGCTGTCACAGGATGATTTCCACTCGCGTGTGGGGGGAGATTGTGCTGTGATTGCAAAGCCCATGGGGAAAGGCGGTGGGGGAGGCTGCTATAATGTGCTGTGGGCTTTCCGAAACTCCAGATGGGCTCGGTCTTCCTAAAGGGTAAGGTTTTTATCACTCTCAAATCTCTTTTTCTCTACCTTTCCCATGGCAGGACAGGACTAAACATTTCTCTCTGCGCTTTATTTCCCCCCCACCCTTCCCTCTGGCCAGCAGTGACACGGAGCTGCTTTGACCAAGGAGCGGCAGTCAGCTCGCTTCTTCTCTTCAGCGATGAGGGAAAGATGTGTGTGGACTGCTAAATGGCTGCTGCTGCGCTCAACTGGGAATGGCCCATTGGGCAAGAATCCATTTGGATTATTGGTTCCTTGCGGTGGTGCCTGAGGGGCAAAAGGGAAGCCCAAAGAAAATGACCCAGCAAGGCTGCTTCCTTGAACAACCAAGCTTGTTCACAGCCCTCTTTGCAACCCTGTTTCCTTAGTCTCAGGGCAAAAGCAGGTGCCAGGCTCCAGGGAGACTCCCAACCTGGTGCTCCCATATTCCAAAGTTTTATTTCTATCCCGCAGTTCTTCTACTACCCAAGATCCAGATGATGCCAATACCTTAACCAGAGAGAAAATGGAGATCTAGTGTCCTGAGAAAAGCCTTCCTGTATCCCCCCCTCCCCAATCCACCTGGATCTGTCATGTAGTGCTTATTACTATTGCTGCTATTGTGCCTGTATCTCTTAGCTGCATGACAGATCCAGGGGGATTGGGGGGAGGTGCAGGAAGGGAAGAGGACCAATCTGCTCTCCATGAAGGCTTTTCTCAGGAGTCAAAGACTTTGAATCAAGCTTGATTGTAACCCATTCCAAGTTTTAAACTTCCCAATCTAGCGTCCGAGAAATCTAGTGTCTCTGAGACACCTCTTCTTTGCAATAGGAGGAGGAAGGCGGTGCAAAGCATCTTAAACCAAAGCCTCTGAGTAACTGGGAAAGAAAGCTGTGTTTTTTGGGCAGCGATTTTCGGCAGGTTCCAAGTGCGGCTTTTGTTCCCAGTTTCTCAGACGCTCTCCTCCTGCAAGCGACAGGTGCCTTAGAGACTTGTGGGCAGCTCAGGGGAGACAATGGCCATGATGACTTCACTCCCCAGCAATGTGAGGAGCCACCGCCACCACCTAAGCCCTCCCGGGAGCCGAGCAGGAGTCCCAAAAGCGAAATGTCTCTCCTTTCAAGTCACCATGATCTCTGCAGTTCCTGCTTCACCTGCCCCTTCTTGGGTGGTTCCAGACGGCAGACATAGTGGTAACAGTGTTTTTGGGTGGCAGCACAACGATCTTGACCATCTGGAACAACCCGAGAAGGGGCAGGTGAAGCGGGTGCTGCGTGAGAGGTGTAAGGCAAGCCGCTGCTCAGTCTCCCCATTTTCCAGACAACCCAGGTGGAGGGCGGTCGGCTTCTGCTCCTGGCCTGGGGGACAGATCTGGCCAGGAAGAAAGAGAAGGTGGAGAAGGGTGTGCTCTTTTTCCTCCCTTGTCCAAAAATAGAGCATGCAGAATCAGCAAATGACTGAGGCAGCAAAGGCGCAGAGGCTTGCTGGGAACGTGACGGATCTGGCCAGGAAGAACGCACTTTGCAATCAGGGAGGAAAAAGTTTCAGGCGACAGGTGGTTCCAGGCCGCGCTGCGATCCCTGCAGCCTGGAACCACCCGTCGCCTGAAACGCTCTTTTTTCTCCCGATTGCAAAAATGGGGCATGCATTCCTCCTGGCCATATCTGTCTTCCAGGCCATGAACAGAAGCCGACCTCCCTCCGCCTAGGTTGTCTGGAAATACAGGAGGTCGAGGGGCGAACCACCTTGCCTTATGCCTCCTGTGCAGCATCTGCTATATCAGGTGGCTACATTCGGAGTATAAGATGTACTTAGATTTTTACCCTCTTTTTGGGGGGAGGGGGAGTGTGTCTTATACTCTGAAAAATACAGTAAATGATCAGATGACATTATAGGCTGTTTTTTTAAAGTTTGTTCTCATATTGACTTGTATATACCATTCCAATTTAAAAAGGATGTACTTAAATTAATTCAAGTACTTCCCTTGCCTGACACTTATTTTCAGTATATTTATATGTTGTGAAAAAGCAATTTCCCTTTTTTTGTTCCCTTAAAATAAACTCATTAGTTGAACAGTTGATAAAAATGAGTTTTATTTAAACAGATTTCAGCTTTTTAAACTAGACACATGTATCCATTCAGTTGCTGTTTGAAGAACACGTCTTTTAGTCAAATCCTGACCTAATTTCTACTGGGTCGTTGCCTTTTCGCCGAATATAGTATTCTCTATTTCCTGCTTAAAATTGTGCTATTATTTTGGTGTGATACCTGAAACATGGATAAATACTTCTTAAATTGATGGATTTCTTAGATATTACTTTATAATTTTACAATCACCCATTATATTCCACAACTCCCATGCAAACTGTTTGCTAAGAGCCAAGGTGGCGCAGTGGTTAGAGTGCAGTACTACAGGGGACTTCAGCTGACTGCTATCTGCAGTTCGGCGGTTCAAATCTCACCAGCTCAAGGTTGATTCAGCCTTCCATCCTTCCGAGGTGGGTGAAATGAGGACCCAGACTGTGGGGGCAATATGCTGA